ACAGTTTTTATATAATTTATCATCAGAAAAGAAATATATATATATATATATATATATATATATATATATATATATATATGACAATTGGAAAAAATTTTAGATTTTGCCGACGTGTTTCGTCTTCCGACTTTTTCAAAACAAAAATGATATCGAAATGTTTTTGTTGCTATAGTTACATTAAAAAAATCCAAATTTAAAAAGATAGACGCTTCTGTCTAAGCCTTTTTTTGGTAATGTAAATTACCTTTATAGCATAGTTTCGGAAGATGAAACGCGTTGGCAAAATCTAAGATTTTTTTCCAATTGTCATTTTATACCAATCTATTTTGTTCACAGAATTGATCTTGGAATTTAACTATATATATATATATATATATATATATATATATATATATATATATATATATATATATAAGCAGGATGTGTATGTGTGTAACGAATGTACGGCCTCAATTTTCGACGGATTTGCATCAAAATTTACATGCACATGCTTCAAGTTAGAGGGAAGGCCAAGACCGACTTTGCATTTACCAACTCCCATCGATAGTGGAAATAATCGATTTTTTCTTGCTTCTACAGCAGTTTTCATGTAGTTTGCGTCCATTTTCTACTGGCCAGAGTGAGAGCCTATAGCTGGCTGCCACGAATAGGCAGGGAGATTCTATTGGCCAGCGTGAGAGCCAACAGCTGACTGACACGAATGTTAACTAGCATGCTAGCAATGCAAAAAGAAAAAAAAATCGATAGCTGCATTCGTCACAAGTGGGAAAAATTTAAATCTGCATGGCACTTTACTCCAATTGGCTCATTCGCTTGCTTATACTCAACGTTGATTCTGATTCCGCAGTACTGGGTTGGGTGTGAAAAAGTATTTGTTGTTAACATTCTTTTTTCATTCGGTTTTTCCAGTTACGAGTCCTTTTTTAAAGCTGATCGTTTTGTGTTCATTTTGTTTAGTTCTTTTTTCGTAACAGATTTAATGTTTAGTATAGAGCTTAGAAAAAATTCGCAGTGTGAGATAGGCAAGAAGTAAGGCATGTAGCAACATCAGCACGGCAAAGGGCACTCCTTTAAAGGCAAGGAAGGGCAAAATATTTCAAGTCAAGTTGTAGCGATTGCTGTATGAGTCGTACGATTTTTGAATCAAGCACGGGCCACGCCGGACCATGCTGCTAGTATATATATATATATATATATATATATATATATATATATTAATAATTACATATACCTACGTTTACAGTACGACTCCGAGTTTCATAGCTTTGTCAATCATCAGGTACAAAAAGTTACGAACTGTTAAATACGGTTGTTTTTTTTGTTTTTTTTTAAAATTTCATGGTCTCATGGAAGCAATGCTACATTGTGTGTGGATACAAAGTTCAAGATTATTATAAATACAACATAGTATTGGGGTATAAATTCAAAATATAGAGTGTTAGTAGGTAGTTATCGATAAATAAACTACGTTATTAATAGTAAGTTTAACAGGGATATTAATCTGTTAATGTATATTGAGTCAACGGATAAGATTATGGCAAGACGAACTAAAAATGGTAGTAGTTACCAAAGTTCGTATTGCAATAATCTTATACGTTGACTCAATACATATTAACGGGTCAATATCCCTATGTGTAATTTTTAATATATACTTTATATAAAATAAAATTACTACATTGAACACTGTTTTTCTACACCAGTGATGAAATTATGTTATGGAGTGGTTTCACAGTGGAGGCTTGTAGTTGTACTAAGTCGGTCCTAAAATAGGTTCGACGTACAAAACGTTAGGAACTTGATATAATAGCTAATGACGCAGAGTAAATCTAGTTGTGGTTGCTGATACTTTAGTATCCGACTAACGGTCGTCCGGCATCGACTGACTGGCCGAACCCTCTGAGCGATATTCAGTCACCGCCCACCCACGAGGACACCATGTGGCACAAGGCCGGTTTAACGTGGGATCTCCGAGCCCGTGGGCTCGGCCAAAAAATATGCCCTTTTAAAACCCGTATAAACGGGTTCAGGGTCGGTTTACGTCCCCGAAAGAGACTCCGCCCTTTGGCGTAGCCTCGTTCGGGTTCCTCCCCGCCCGAAGGCAGAGAGTTCAACCGGTCAGCCGGTCGTCTGACTTCAGACTGAACTCAGACCGATTACTGAGCAGTATCTAGTCACCCCCCCACCACAAGGGCATCATGTAGCACAAGGCCGGTTTAACGTGGGATCTCCGAGCCCGTGGACTTGGCCAAAAATATGCCCTTTGAACCCGTATAAACAGGTTCAGGGTCGGTTTACCTCCCTGAAACAGAGTCCGCCCTTCGACGTAGCCTCGTTCGGGTTCCTCCCCGCCCGAAGGCAGAGAGTTCAACCGCTCAGCCGGTCGTCCGACTACAGACTGAACACAGACCGACCCACTGAGCGACCCAGCGACTCCTACTCCTCCTACTTATTATTGGTGGAAGAGTCTATTAACTATAGAATAGGTGTGTTCCACTATAACTAATTAATATTAATTTGCCGACCTTCATGTGTACGCATTTGCTCATTTATATAGTTGTTAGTATCTCTTTATTTAGATCATTTCTACATCTATCTCTCTATATTCACTGTTTCTCTGTACGTCACTATACGGATTACTATTCGAGAGAGTATTATCGAGCAAGTACTATTAGCGCGAGTGGTATTCAATGGTATCTGACACCAATATTGTTCAACGGTGTACTATACTGGTATCAATTACAAAGTCTCTATTACAACGAGTATTACGAAAGTGACAATGAGTATTCGTCGGCAAAGCAAAAGTGACAACGACTGTTCGTTGTTGGTTGACACCACAAAAAGCCAGTCTAGAATATAAGTAAAACAATGCTCATATATTTTACTGTTTTCTGTGATTAAAAGTTTCATGTGGACACTTAGATGCTGATGCTGTTGTCTCACAATACTCACACGGTAAGAATGATGAGATACTCAAAATCTTTATTGAGAATAAGGAACTGCGTATCTTGTCACTCTGGGAACACTAGCATCAACCTCTAAGTGGGCACATGAAAGTTGCAGAAGGCAGTAATATATAAGTATTGTTTTGTTATTGAATCCTCTACATGTTATTTTTACATTTATTTTTTCACACGTGTATTGAGCACTTTTTAATACTATTGTTTCCTGGTCTGATTCAACTCTGATCATTAACTTCAAATTTTGAGAAATCATTAAGATTGATTGAGTTGTTTTATACGGCTTATCAAGCCTATGTGGGTTATTTAAAACCGAAACATATTTTGGACTGCAAGAATAATAAGTAAGTTTTACAATAGCAATTCTTTGAAAATAATAATAATTTTTCCAGATATATGGCCACTACTTAACCCATAGATTGGGTAGGAGATGGAGTCATATATCGCGCGAATATAACAAATCCAACAGGAATTCGAGCTGAGCTCTCTCAATTCTTATTCGGAGGCGCTTTCCATTACACCGTCTGCACATTGAAAGAATTAATAATTCCACATGAATAATAATGACTATGCTTTATCTGAGATGACTATTCCCTCTATTTTTAGTACAAAGTGTAAAAATGTAACAAAATTTCGACGAAAGTAAAATTAGTAATTGGTGCTAATTCTTGTCATTCTCGTTGGTTACCATAATAGCAAACCCACTTTTCGTAATCGCTGGTGTTTCTACCGAAGAAGCGTTCGGCAGCAAGTCTACACTTCAATGACAAACAGAACACAACACTTCAATTAAGCTGAGGACCAGTCCGATGATGATGGAGCCATTGATTAAGTCCAGATAATTTTCCGAGTCTGTGAAAATGTTCTATCATCAAAGTGCGAATTTATTTACACTATTTACATGCGAACTATTGTCCCCATCTTTGTTGTTGTTATCACATGTTTCGGTCGTTGTGCCGTCCGGCCTTCATCAGGTGTATGTCGATTTGGGTAACCTACAGGAAATTCCAAACTGAACCCTTTATTTAATTAACTGGGGTAGATTATTCTTGTGCCACTGTCATATCTTGGGATATCTAGTCTAGTTCTTATTTTTAGCACTGCTCTTTTATTGCATCGCCTTATTTTTTACTGAGTGCAAGGGGGTGCACCCAAAATTATTGTCATCAAGTCAACAAACTAACGCTTTAATTCGCTAGGCACTTGTTCCGTGGGACAACTTTATGTGGAGAACCTAACCTGCCTGATGGTGACAGTGTTTGTGCTTGTTATGCTTGGCTACACTCACTGAAGCCTTTTCTCTTTTTTTGTAACAGCTGCTGCTGTTGAGACTTGCTGTCATTTCTCTTTTTAGTCTCTTATAAATAGTGTAAATCATGATAACTTCTCATCACAGAAATTCAGACAGAAAGGCAGAACCTATAATAGAATGTCTTGTTAATTCTAGTGCAGTTTGCTTAGGCTTTTCTTAGATTACAATAGCCAAATATTAATAAAACTTAGCCGTCTGGATCGAGGGATAACTCTGAAATAAAAGATTTCTTGATAGAAACTGGAAAACCCATCGTTGGCATGTCTGGACACTTAGGGTTTCATTCCCAGAGAAAGAATGGAAATTTTTTTCCTGCTTCTAATTGAACAAATTACTCACACTTCAAAATTTCCTTCGTTGGTAGAACATAAGTCGAGGTTAACATGAAACGGAGTTTTAACTATCATGTTTCAATGTCAAATGAGTAAACCTGTAAATGTTTAGCATAAAAGATTGATTGATTTGTTTTTTACGGCTTATCAACCTTTTGTGTGTTATTTAAATCCTGAAAGTATTTTTGGACTTTAAGAATATTTTTGGAGATAACAATGACTTACTAATTCAAGTCCTACTATGTAACCCATAGCTGGGAGGAGAAGCACGTTGATTCATAACTTTCTCAAGGTTATTTGCGCGCAAATGAATATAACTATCTTCACTGGAATTGGAACTCGGCTCTCTGATTTTCAAATTGCCAGCAATTTATCCATTGCACCACCCGCTTATCCATGCTTACAGCACATGGTGTTCCCTAACGGTCATTCATCGCGGTTTTAACCAGGCTCAAAGTTGCTTAACTTCATTGATCCAACGAGAATCGGTGTTTCAACGTGATATAACCGTAAGCCAACATAAAAGAAGCCCAACTGATTTCACCATAAAATGAAGTATCAACTCTCATATTTCTCTGTTAAATGAACAGAAAAATGTTTAAAACACGATAAAAGTCATTATTATATGATAGTCATTTAATATATGGGAGCACAGATTGCTTATTATATCTTTCGGTGATCTGCTGTTAACCCTAGGCGTCTTTAATCAATAACAGAATCACCTCTAACCGATATTAACATAATACCAAGGTTCACCGATAATACTGTTCTGTTAAATAAGTAGTAATATGTTCAAGTTATTGATTAGGTTCTGCTAAATCCGTCAAGCGGACACCTGATTGTTTATTGTAAAATTGATCCCTGTGTAGTCTTCCTTTTAAGTAGTGAGCAGAATCATCGATATTTAACTTTCAGTGGCGAAACCTCGGAGACTTCTACAGAATTCATGAGCACTTCAACGAGCTGTAATGATTAGTAAGCTTGTCTCGCTAGATCAAGTAATATGAGTAATGAGTTCGAGCCTTACTGGTTGCTTGTGTCACACTTACGCTACGCTGAGAAAATCGTTTTATACTTACCTCGTGTATGTAGTGTAATCATCTCGCAGTTGCGTCTCTGTCTTCGGGCAGAGTGCGACGCAGCTGAGAAAAAATACTTAACTACCAGGTCCCAGGGAACAGCTGCCCGTGGCTGTATCCACCTTATCGCGTTAGAGTTTGGTTTCGGCAGTCATATGTAATCGAGGTATGGTTGTCAGCAGAAGGAACAGTCCAAGATGAGAACTACAAATTGGAGGTACCAAAATCAAGCCAGTAAGAAAATTTAAATAGATAGGTAGTGTAGAAGACAGGAAAAGTGACATCGAAACCAGAAGGCGAATTGGAATAGCGAAAGATGCCTTCCAAAATCTAAGCAAAGTATAAAGAAACGCGAAAACTTCGTTAGAAATAAAACTGCTGAACCATTTTGTGATGTCTGTCTTTCGATATGGTAGTGAATGTTGGACAGTCTCCTCCCATATGTAAAAGTTATTTGAAGTAACAAAAATGTAGTTCTACAGAAGGATGTTGAGAATATCATAGACTGAACATGTGAGTAACGAAAGTAAAAGTTTTAAGGGAAATGGAAACAAAAAGGACACTTATACTTAGAATCAGAAAGAGAAATTTCCAGACCATATAATGAGGAAAGATGGCTTGGAGATTTTGAAGCTCACATGGCTTATTGAAGGTGAAAGGAAAGGGGAAAATAGAGAAAAAACTACCTAACGACCTCGTGTAAATGGTTTTCCATTTTTCTTAAAACTTCGTCGTTACTCACATGTTCAGTCCAGATTAACCTCATCATCCTTCTGTAGAACCACTTTTCTATTGCCTCAAGTCTCTTTTTTCTTCCTCTGTGATGATATTGTTCAGCATTCACTGCCATATAGGAGGACCGAAATAAACACACTGCTGCAGGCGGTGAAGAGATTTAAAAAAAAAATTGTATATGAACATTGTACAATAGTTATTTGTGCGTGGGTTGGTCAGCAACCAATATTTGTGGAACCGTTCGTATTCTTGTTTTTCAGAAATAACTTCTGGGAAATAGAAGAAAGATCTGTTGCTTTTGGGGAAACAACTACTTCTGAATGAATTGTCGATAGCGTTGAACAGTGGAGATGGGACGGCGAAGAAGAATTTGATTTGTCTTCGCGGCTTTTAGCAGCAGACAACCTAAAGAAGTGAACCTCAGTCGCAGTCTTGAAAATCCGTCGTTTAACAGAACCACTCCTTTCACATAGTTAATCTCTCGTCACTCTAACCCGCTCTTGTTCCGTCGGCTTAATATCTTTCATACTGCTGCTGAAAATCCTTCAAAAAAAAAAAAAAGCAAACAAAAAAAAAAAAAAAAACTAGGCTCGTGGAGTTTGCGCGCGAAGTTATTTTTTGTTTGGCACGCAATGGATTTATCAGCCAATCAGGTTGAGTTTTACAAAATTTAATCTGCATTTGTAGCCAACAAGGAAATTGTAAATATAAACGGATAGTTTTTGGCGCAAATATTTGGCGCCAATTTCCTTTCAAGCTGCAGATAATCCATTTTTGTCAGAATATAAAACTAGATCTTTGAATATTTTTATTTTTATATCAATTTTATGCAAAAAACAAAAACAAAAAACAAACTTATATTTCATTGAAGGAATAAAGACTTTTTGTATGTAATATTAATATTAAGTTTTTAAACACATTTTTAAAAACAAATCCTCATAATGAAACAATTCAATTTTTATACTAATGTTCACCCAATACAAGACCCAGGAGCCACTCAAGGTAGAGGCTTAATGTGTAATGCTGTATGAGCGTAAGAAATAGCAAGAAGATCTGTTCATGTGGTTATATAGGAAAGATACCGGTTAAATTTAAAGTTGAAGAATTCAAGACTGTAGTGATCAGAAAAACATCCATCCGGAAGTCTGTTCCATAAAACAGCCGTTCTTTTTACTGGAACTGGAAAAACCGATACAAAGTCACTAAATTCTTAGAAAAGACTCAACAACTTAATATTCATAGAAAGCCTGAAAATATGTGCCAAAAATTTAAGGCATTTAAAATAAACTTCGATATCAAGAAATTCGTTCAAGATGAAAAGATTGATTGATTGATTTGTCTAACGGCATATCAACACCTTAAGGGTCATTTAATGCCAAAATTTAATTTTCTTGGGAGCTTTGATATAATAAAAAAATATATGTTATTCTGTTTTCACAATTGAATACATGGTAGATGATACTCAGATTTTATGCATATACATGTTTGTATGGACATAATTAATAAGCATTGATATTTGTGTTTTATGTTGTAGTTTTATTGAAGTTATGTTTTGGAATATAGTTTGATTGCAGGATATTATATGAATTAACTAGCAGTAGAGCCCGGTGTTGCCCGGGATGTAACAGTAAGAGATAAATCGACCATCATGAAAACTGAAAAATAAAATTGACAAACATTATTGTTTAAGGTTGATGGACACGCATGTCTTAATTAGTTTTTTTTTGTTTTGTTTTTTTTTTAAATTTTTTTTTACGAATTGGTCAAACCCAAACTCAAACAAAAACATTGTTTTCAATCGTTATGAGTCTATCGATTGAATAGAATTTTATTATAAACAATTGTCTTGTAAATGAAATTTTTAAAGCATTCTGAATGTAAAAATAAAGAAAAAAGTGTGCAAGACAATAAGAAACACTACCTGCCAAAAAAAAGTGAAGTTTTGTTGAAATCGGTTGAAAAAGGTAGGAAATCTGAGCCTATATATAAACGAACACACACACACAAACAACCTGGGTTTTAAGTATAACTCGATATGAGTTGTCCCCCTTTCATTCTCGCGATGCCTCTTAATCGTGTTTTCAAATTGATTTCGTGCAAAAACAATTGTGTTTTTTCAATTTTTGGCAGTGTCTGACCCACCGCAAGGTGATTTTACGTAGTCCTGTGAAGTTTTGTTGAAATCGGTTGAAAAATGTAGGAAATCCGATCCAATATATAAACGTACACACACACACACACACACACACACACACACACACACACACACACACACACACACACTGGGTTTTATAATAAGTATGATGTCATAAAAAGGTATTTCACGTTGGTTGTTTGGTTGGTTGATTTTGTTTAGCGGCATATCAAGCAATATAGGTTATCTAATGCTAAAATCTATACATTTTGTAGAACTTCAACTACAGATAAAAGGTTTGTAATTTTACTATAAATAGGTATTGTTGATATTTTTTATATAAAAAATGTATTGCTGATATTTTTACAATAAAATGTATTGTTATACTTTCATAAGTTTTTGTTCTTCTTTGTGTGTTCACTATTTGTCCATCACTGGGACCTAACAGATACTACTGCCTCGATGTGAAGGTGGATCTGGGGAAAAAAACAACAATTAAGAGGTAGTTCCGCGCTCCTCAAAACTTCCAATTTCTCGATCAGTGCCCTTGCTGCCGGATGTAGTTTATCGTCATACCTAGGACGATAAAAGTAACAGTACGTATCAACAATGGAATTGCCAGAACATTGATTGAAAGAGAATTCTTCAATTGTTCTTTATAATTCTTGAAATAGATTCACTTAAGCAGAAGTCAGTGAAAGAGAAAATAAGGAAAAAATATTTCCGAAGAACAAGGAAAATTCTAGAGACGAGACACAACAGAAGAGTTCTTGTTCAGGAACCATGAACACATGGCTAGTATCCTTAGTAACACATTGTCAGCTCTTTCCAAATTGGGTAAAACAAAATTTAGGAATTTGGATAACGAAATAACGAATTTGATGACCGTGTATAAAGACATATAACCTAAAGGCAACTATGATAAACTTTAGAAAGACGGATAAAATTCATTTGTCAGCATTGATGATTATGTCAACTCATTTATACATCTTCTATGTGTCGTGTCTCTTCAGGACGTGGGCGTTCATGGCTCTCCACAATTTCCTGTGATTTGTAGCGCTTTATAATTTTTTCTTTTCGTTATCTCTCCTAAAAATTTCCTTATCTTCCCTAAACTTTTGTTATCACTCTGCCATTCATTTACTCATGCTCGCTAGTTAGGTGTTGATGGGTCCTCCCCTTTTTACACAAATGGACTCACCCAGTATATACATATACTACTGCTACGTGAAGACCCGAGCAGAGAGACAGACAAGAGGAGGAGGAGAGAAAGGTTGTAGGTAATCGGAAGAGTGAGAGTAAGGTAACAGACAGACAGAACAAACGTAGCGAGCAAGAGTCACAGTGAGCGAGCACGTAGACTCAGTAAGAAGTCATACAGCGATACTTCAATACCAAAGACTGTATAGATAATTTGCTACTAACCCGTATTCCTGGAACTACTAACCTGCATTACCAGTTTGTATTATTCCGATAATACATTATTTTCCTATATTCATTCTTGGCGTTTGTTATTTATTGGTACCGGATTTCATCTCGGAATCCACAACATCTCTTGACTTCGATCTGTCTTGTGAGTATAAATTTTTCCATGCCCTCTTTCCTCATTTCATGCCCTAGAAATTTCTAATTTCTCTTTCTGATGTTAAGTGTCCTTTCTGTTTCCATTTTCACCAAAACTTCGTCGTTCTCCTATGTTCGGTTCACAATATCCTCAGCATTATTTTGTAGAACCATTCTTTCGTCGAGCGTCGTTTTCATTTATGACTTCATCTGGATTCAAAATTAATTGTTTTAACTCTGTGCCTCAAAATATTGACCGAAATACATTTCGTTGATAATTTTCATAGTAAAGAAGAAAGAAGAAAGCAAAACAAAGAAAAAAAGTAAATAAAAAAAAGAATGAAATATATTAATGTGGCTAGTCGGGATGCGTAGGTCTGAGCCCTGTCTGAGCTAGAAACATACTTTTAGGAGATGTATTCCTTGCTTTAATCTCATAAATAATCTTTTTAAAATTTCTAATGACATGTATGCCCTGTTATTCAAAGAACAAATTTCTATCAAAAATTATTGTTTTCAAATGTCAATTTTAAATAATTTATTCCGCACGTAAAGTCGGCGAAAATCAAAGAAACTGTAGAGTGGAGGGTTGGGCTGAGGAGTGTGACTGGGGTAGTGTTGAGGAAATATGATATCCGTCGGCATTACTGATCATAAACGTACTTAAATTAAAAATTCACAGACGGAGAGATAGGTAAACACACTAACGAATAGACATATGTACGAATGCACACTCGAGATAGATTCACACGTTACTTAAAAATATATCTGGCTAAAGATTTTTTTAAATTATATATTTTAGTTAGAGTAAAGGAATCATTTTAGCATTTAAGTTATACCAATAGTGTATTTTGTTTTCTTAAACATTGTTAACGACCCCGACAAACATTAATGACCTAAAGTCGCCAGAGATTATATATATATATATATATATATATATATATATATATATATATATATATAGAGACAGATAACACATGTTTATTATTATTATTAATTAGATATTTTCTCATGTGTGCGTGTTTCCCATTTGTTTATCTAAATGCTATAATGAAAAAAGAAACAACTGAAAAATGTACACACCTGCACACACACACACACACACACACACACACACACACACACATATATATATATATATATATATATATACAACGTGATATGACCGTAAGCCACAATTGTCAGAATGGCATATATATATATATATATATATATATATATATATATATATATATATATATATATATATATATATATATATATATATATATATATATATATATATATATATATATATATATATATATATATATATATATATGTGTGTGTGTGTATGTGTGTATATGTGTGTATGTGTGTATATATGTGTGTGTGTGTGTGTGTGATCTATGTTTTTTTCTCAGAATGTCATATTCCCTATTACTTTTTAAATATATTTTCATGTTATTTATCTTCCCATAAAATAAACTTTCTTTCTCTTAGACCTCCCACACACATACACACACTCAAAACACACACATCACCCACCATGCATACACACACACACTCAAAACACAAACACACAGACACATAGAATCACAAAAAAAACACGTACGCTTAAAACACCCCTAAAACACACACGTGCATGCGCGCACACACGCAATGATTTAAATATAAACAGGAAGAGGTTTATTCCAAGAAAAATTAACATTTTTTTTTATCAAAGTAGATCTGATTAAACAAGTTGCGGAAAAACAGATGGTCTGTCGTATTTTTTCCAAGTCATAATACTGTGGTGTGAAATAAAGCTTTATTTGTATGGGCGTGATGTTAAATTAATTTAAATATTGTATCTTATTTTACAGCGCAAAATTAATATTTATATACATTAATTTAATATTTAGCTTACATATCACATCACGCACTTCATCCTTTTGGGCTTCATCGGACTAAAGTGGTGTTTATTTTGGAGCAATTACACATGCGCGTATAGGGGAGAGGACGCTGAGAATTTTAAATTTAAAAAGAAATGTTTTCGTTATATGACGCATTCGGCGGAGGAGGGGCCTATTCAACATTTGATAATTTTGCGACAATACGCACTTAAAGATTTTAGGCAGTTTTAATCAATGTTTCTTTCCATGGTTAGCCATAAGGAATTGTAAATATAGGACTACCTTAGACTTAAGTAAAATAGTGACAATATTAATATTTATTAAGAATTTATTGCATGAAATATCAAGTTTTACGGAAACATTGTTGATAATTATATATTTAGTTACATAACAAATAAATAAAAATAATATAAAATTTGATGTTATATTTAATTTGATGTTAGATATTTTTCATTTTCTCCTTTGTTATTGGAAGCATTTTTGGAACTATTTCGCTTATGTTTTCTTACGTCTTTTTTCTATTGTTTTTGGATCGTTTTCTTCCAGTCATTTTGAAAAGCATTCTGACATTTAGAATGATCTTATTCCAATAAAAAAAATAAAACCTGTTAAAAGGAATATCTTAAATTAATATAAGAGCAAAAATAAAATGCTTTTGATAAAAAACCCTTAATTATTTCACTATAATTATGTAACAATAATGTAATGATATTCCTCAGACAAATCTATGCTTTATGTTACCTCGTCTCATTCATTGCAAGTTTACGAACTGTCAACCTAAATTAAGCAATCGGCTGTAATATTTTGTAAAATACTTGAATATGATATAGAGATTTTCCAAGCGCGGCTTAGATATTTTTTTTTTTTAAGCATTGTGCCCCAAGCAAGGCGTGAAGCCACTAGGATGCAGGGGGTTTGGAGCGAGAGCAGATAAGAGTGATAGGAGAAAGGAAGAGGAGAAGGATAGTGGGTAGATCAAGGTAATTGGAGATGTCGATTGACATTACATTTGAATAGTTGGAGATTATAGCTTTCAGGGAAACAGTAATTGGGGAGGGTGTTCCACTGGCGAGAAGTGCGAGGTATGAAGCTATTGGAGTAGAAGAGACGGCTACATTTGAAGGTTTCTACGGTGTAAGGGTGAGAGCGGGATGCCAGCCTCGTAGGGCGCTTGAATTCATGGAGTCTGGGAACCAGAGAGAGCAGCTCATCAGAGCAGTTACCATGGAAGTATTTGTAGAAAAGACAGAGAGAGGCGACGGCGCGTCTGTGAGAGAGTGACTGCAAACAAGACGCTAGATCAGGGCCAATTAGATTACATATCCTTCTCTGGATCTTGTCGAGAACTCCGAGGTAAGCGGAAGGTGCTCCAGCCCATATATGGCAGCAATACTCCATGCAAGGGCGAATGGTTGTTTTATATACTTGAAGTATCGATTCAGGGGAGATGTGGCACAAGATCAAAAGTATGGGGCACTCAGTGCGGATCGAACTCACTCGTAAGTGATTTAGCAAGACAATCTTTCTAACCATTACACCACGTCGAGGTGCCCCACTTGGATACGATGTAATGATTAGTTTTCAGTAAAAAAATGCAATTTTCGATTTTTGTTGATTCGCCGAACGCTTCAGTTTTCAGTTAATTTCTTTTTAATTTTATGTCTGTTTTTAACGCTTTTGTTATTAGAATTTTTGACCCGGCGCAATTCGCAAAACTTGACCACATAAATCAGCAGAATTTTATTGAAAACCTTATTGGAGCCTTGTACTTTTTCTGCATTCTTTTAATATTAGGATTATTGTCACAGTGAGTGAGCGGCGGGCCAAAAATGTGATGCTGGAGGACAAATATACGAATACAAATATACACGTCATGACACAGTCTAATAAGAATATTATGCACATGCCTCACAGCTAAATATGTCCGACTTGGTGAAGTTTTCATAAAAGCAGCGCATATTTTTGCAGGTGACGCCTACTTAGAAATACCTTCAGGTCGGGTAATCTAGTCCGTTAAGTCGGTTTCCGATTGAGGTTGTCTCAAGATGTGCCTCATCATTCAAACATAAAAAAAACACCTGATCATGATGCTCCCTTACTATATAGATATCAAATCATGGCTTGGCTTCAGGAACGAAGATGCATGAAGATTTTTCACTGTCGTTGCAGACTGATTGATAGTGTGGCCAATTCAAGAGAGACTTGTCAAGAGAGGGTCTGGCTGCCGGTAGACGTTTTGGTTTCATGATGCCTCTTTTTTTCTATTATTTTTCGGCGGCTTCCTTTGGCGATGGAGGTGACCTAACTGATACCATCTCTCTTTGGCACCCATATAGTTGCAAATATTTTCCCACTGTTGATTAAACGAGTCAGCATCGTTCCCATGACAGGGTGTGGTCATAGGGTCGCTACGCAGCTTCTCCCAATATATCTGGGCTGAAAGCGGGAGAGGTATTCATGTGTACTAGATCTGGCGGAACCTATCCCTCTCCAGTCCAAAACCTAGCCGATGTGGTATAACTTGAAAGTTCACCTTGGTCACGGAGAAGTGGCCAGTGATTCCATCAAGGAGTGGGGATACATCCGTCTTGGCCGTTGACTTTAGTCTTAAGAAGGCCTTCAGCCCATCTATACCGTGTCATCACTGCATTAGCTGCATCCATAGCTATGAAGCCCACTCTATCCCCTTTCACTAGATGGCCGTTGACCCTATAGGTATATTCAAAAATATAATTCAACAATATCATTTTTCTATCATAATTTTCATCTCTTTCCAGTTTTACTGCTCGTGTAAATTTCTGTGATATACAAAGAAAAGTTTTTTGTCTGAATTATTTTTTATGGCTTATCAACCTTTTATGGTTATTTAAAGCTGAAACATATATTTGGATTGTAATTACTTTTTAGGAGGTAATAACGGTACAAGTCCTACTATTTAACCCATAACTGGGAGGAGAAGAGGTAGATTCATACCTTTCCCAAGGGTATTTGCATGTAAGTGAATATAACAAACCCGACTGGAATTCGAACTAGCTCCCCTATTTCTCATTCCAATTCCAGAACGGTCACCCATCTAGGTACTGACCAAGCTTAACGTTGTTTAACTTCGGTGATCGGACGAGAATCGGTGTTTGAACGTGATATGTACGTAAGCCACAATGAAAAGTGACCTTTTTTTTTCTAAGACCAATGAACTCTATAAACATAAAAGCAACTACTAACTGATCTGTTTTGGCCAGAGTCGAATACCCAAGAATAAATTACGATAATAATGTCACAGAGACAGGAAGAATCATAAGAACTGAGGCAGAGCGGAAAAGTGATGTTGGGTGGTTGGGGGGGGTTATAACGTCAATTCTGATGACCACAACATGGCTAATTGGGAGAATATTAAAAAAACCAGGAAGGAAATCTTTCGACTTCACGTCCTCTTCCTTTTCCTTCTTTGCCTCCTCATCCTTCTTTCTCTTTCGCCACTCTGGCCATTCCCTATTAAGTCGTGCCTACTGCACCTCGTTTTGAACTTCTTGCCAGCGTCCTCAGTCTGACCAGCTTTTCTAGGTAAAAATAGTTCTCTAAAAGGAGTGTTGCAAGAGTGCTTTAGGTGTTGTCATAGTTAGGTTGCCTCTGGGATGTTTGTGCCAAAACGTACATCTTGCGTCATATGATAAATATGGATATTTATCGAATCCTTCGCACAATTAGCTGCAAGTATCGAGGATAAAACTAGCCAATTTTCACACCTTAATTTCACTTCTTAATGATAACTTAATATTCAGTGTCTGTCTATATTTCTGAGATGAGGCGTTGTAATTATTTACGCCATTTGCATTATTCGGACTGTTGTCCTCATATTCACGATGCTTCGGCCGTTGTATTCTCCGACATTCTTCAGGTGATATACGTTGGAATTTCGGACCGATCTCAAAGGATATATGGATGAAAGCGTTGGTTGAAGTAATCCCAAAAAGTTATTTGACCCAGAGAGTTTTGAGTTCGATACCCGACCACAGCAGAGGTGGACAAAAAACTTGGAGAGTTGAGTTATTAAAGGGAAATAACTAAAATTGAGATATCCAGAAAAGGTATGGCACGTGGAACTAGAACAATCTCCCCCTGTGGAGTAAATAAATGTTTCGGTTCGAAATTCCAACATATATCACTTGACGAAGATCGCAGCGTACAACGGCCGATATGTCGTGGATATAACAGACATCAGACCGAATAATGTAAATAGTATTAATAGTTAATATAAAATATAAAATATTTAATCCTTAAAAATGACTAAATATATAGTCGAAAGCGCTCGGATAAAAAGAACATTCGGACAGTTTTTATATAATTTATCCTCCGAAAAGAAAAAATTATTAGATCGCATGAGAAATTGTATAAAAAAATAAATAAAAGCACCTTGTCTGTCGTATTCAATGAAATGTGCATGAAAGAAGGATTGCTGTCTAAATATATATATATATATATATATATATATATATATATATATATATATATATATATATATATATATATATATATATATATACGACCAATATAAGTATATATATTAGGAAGAAACAGACAAAGTGAAAATTCTTTACGTGTGACGTGTTTTATTCTTTAGAATTGGTCGAATTAAAATGATGTTTACGTTGACGCAATTACATATGAGTGTGAAGGAGGGGTGTATAGTTTAACCAATTCTGTTTAGTTTCTTTTTCTTCTTGTCCATGTCTCTATCACTTTTCTTATTAAATATTCCACATTGTGGTAATAGAAGATATGTCAAGAAAGAGATGATATATAAGAATGGTATGCATTTTGTCTTTTTTTGTTGTTGTTGTAAAAGATCACTTTTGTGTTCATCTAATCTGTTTAAATTCATTGAAGTGCCTTCCAAAACAAACATTGCCGAATGATACAAATGACAGGAAGTTGTAGAGAGCCATGATTGTCCATGTCCTGAAGGAAAATGAGACGCATATATCGGGTGCGATGGATGAATTGTCGTCTAAATTACGCAAAAATGAAAATAAAACTGACATCTCATTTTAACAGATATATTTACCAAAACTACACAAAAAATATCTTGAAATACTAAAGAGTAAATGTATTCAATAAAATCGTCATTGGCTTCAACCACAGCCTCAAAATCAAAATCTCTTGCATCTCTTCTGTACTGTCTCCTTATTTAAATTGATGAATGGCGCCATAATTGTTGCATTCAGTTCATCATTATTGTTACAAAGAATTTTGTTGGTCTCCCCCTCAACTGCGCCCTACACATAATAATCAGGGAGATTGCAGTCTGAGATTGTATGGGTTCTACTGCTTGTGTAGCATGGTGCAGAGTCCTGTTGCCAGACATAGGGTTCTTCAGCAGCCACCCAGGGCAGCGCCATCTCCTCAAGGCACTTGATGTAGGCCTCTGTGTCGATCTCGGGCCCTCACCAAAAACCCAAGAGTTCTTTTCTTATGACAACGACCAGAGTGAATTTTCCGAGGTACCGTACCTTCGTAATCACCATTAGACTTATCCAACTCTTTCCGAATCCTCTGAACTTTCCTCAAACGCTCAGACAATCTGAAATATTCGTAGTGAAGCTACTGGCGCGAATGCCAAGCAGTATAGCATACAGTTTCCAAAATTTGCAGTCGACAAAATAAAAAAACAAGCAATGCGCTTGCGCAAAATTAAAAATATAAAATGGCGACAATTTACTCATCGTAACCTCTATATATATATCAAGTGTATGTAGATAGCTCGAAGTGAGTTCAAGTTCTGCTGCGTCCTCTTTTGTGCTAATGCACTTAGGAAAGATATGCATGTATCCTTTTCTTATCAGCTATCGAATCTAAACTAAAAAACGTACAGAAGACACTTCACTATCTTTCATTTGACTGAAAAACAAGAAACCGGAAATGAGCTCCACAAGTGAAAAGTGCGAGAGAAGAAACTGTCAGCATAGAACTTGCAGTGTCTGGACTGAAAGACGATGTTAATACTAATGATGATATTTGCGTTAATTAAATTTCACTTGGCACAAAGCCACAGTGAACTATCATGTCTGAATTGAACTCATTACACGAAACAATAGATTAGCTTTCCAATCATCACTCTATTATATACAAAACATTTTCTTTTCTCTTGGCCTACAGTTCTGTTTCTTTCTCTTACCAACAAAATTACAGAACAACTAATCAGGTGAACGAGTGGACAAATGTTTGTATCACTGATAAGCGCAATGTCCCGATCCGTTGTATTGTAACTTAGACATTCTTCGCCCACTTTTGTTTGTTGTTGGTGGTGACAAGACCTGCTGAACGTTGAATATTTCATTGGTCGAAATCGGTACTGACGTTACACATCCTTGTACACAAGAACGCGCTCAGCAGCAGATGGCAGAGATTTTCAAATATTGCTATCGTGATAAGCGTTGTCTCGTTAGCTTCGCGATAAACGGCATTCTCCCACATAGCCAAAGTCAAAACTTCATTTAGAACTTTCTCTTTTTCTCCACCTCTTTTCGCGAACTGTTGCAATTTGTTTTACCGATAACACGCCCACCGACACCCTCATACACACACACACGCACACACACACACACACACACACACACACACACACACACACACACACACACACACACACACACACACACACACACACACACACATACGCACGCACACACACATGCATATATATGAGTGTTGTTGAAAAGTAAAGTACTGATTATGGGAAATGCGTAGAGTCTAGAGCATTTCGTCACCGCCCACTCGTAAATATATATATATTTTTTTGAATTTGTAGGTCTGATGAATTGGATCGTATTTACGATTCAATGGAATAAATTATGACCATGGAATATTAGTGTTTAAGCCTTTTTATATATATATATATATATATATATATATATATATATATATATATATATATATATATATATATATATATACGAGGGGGTGGTGATGAAATTCTGTAATTCTGTTGGTAAAAGCAGGAGTTAGAACTTTAGGCCAAGAGAAAAGAAAATGTTTTATATTATATTATATTATATTATATTATATTATATATATATATATATATATATATATATATATATATATATATTCTGAATTTCAGTAGCAAATTTTAGGCAAACCTGTAAAAATCAGAGAAACAAAACTTCCACACTGATATTTGATAGCTCTGAAAGAATGCCCTATTTAAATGAATACGTGCGTACACGCACGCACACACACACATATATATATATGTATATAGTTAAACCTAAAGAGACAGACAAACCTACCAAGGGAAATCTGGCTAAAAAGGTTACGTAAGAACGGAATATTTATAGTCTATAAGCATAAAATCATGACCACATGACCAACAAAACCAAAACAAAACAACAATAAAAAAATCAAAAAAAAGAAAAAAAAAAAAAAGAGAAAAAGAAAGAAAACTCAGAAAACGGGGGGCGGGGGTTAACCATTTATTCAAATCGAGATAAAACAACAACAACAACAAAAATTAAATCGGGGGAGGAGACCTAGTCCAACAACCAACGTTTTCTGTGTCTACATTTACATAGAATCTCGGTTTTTGAATTTAATAAATGGTCAGGTGCTAGACGATTATTTTCGGCTAACGTACATGTTCTTTGTTCTTTCTTTTTTTTTATACCTTTTTCCCCTTTGGTATTGGTTTTGATTATTTTCAAATCAAGACACCAAATGTTTTCCGGACGAGTATAATTTCCTATACTTATAAAATTATTACTAGTATATACAGGGTGACCCCCAAAAACGGGAATTTTTGAAGTGCGTATTGCCAGACATGAGCAAGTGGCAACACTGCGAGACAGTGACATTGAGCAAGTAAACATTTCGCCATTTAGAATTCAAGATGAAATTCACAGTATTGCAGCTGAGATGTTGCAGCAGTCAATGAGGAATCTCAACAGCAGATTTCAAGAATGCATTCGTACAGGAGGACGCCATCTACAGGACGTAGATTTTTAAAAAATGAAAATTCCATCATTGTTTCTTTCTGCTATATATTCATGAATTATTCATACAAAAACAAATACAAAGGTTAATGATTTAATTGGCGAGAAATCCATCATCGCAAACAATTCAAATAATATACAAAAATCCCCGAACCTGTTATGAA